GGGGGAGTGGGGGTCCGGGGCTTTCTGCTGGGGCCATCTCTGTCCAGGGAGTGGGGGAGGCATCTAGGCAGTTGGGTCTGAGTAGCCAAGGCAGAGACCGAGTGTCTGCCTGCCGGGCAAAAAACCCCAAACATTGAGGTGCAGAAGGGGATTCCGACTCCCACCCGCGGAGCTCCTGGGGCCGGGACACCCCAGAGCTCCTGCTGAGAGCGCCCCACAGCCCCCCCCCACTCACACAGCAGAGAGCCCTTCCTATGGCCTCCCTCCCCTTTTGCTGCCTCTTGCGCACGAGGAGGCCCGGACGAGGTCAGGAAGGGATACCCCGATCTGGTGTGTCCGGCTTGGCTGCTTCTACGTGTGGCTGGCGGGTGGCGTCCTTCACGGGCCACCCCATGACCTGTCAGTGTGAACGGTGCTGAGGTGGGCTCTCATCCCCACGAGGAAGCCTGCCCCCCACTCGCCTTGTGGCCGACCTCCATGGCCTCAACCCACGCCGTCCTGCCCATCGGAGCCTCAGTCCCCGGGGGGTGGGGTGGGGGGCCCCTGCCTACCTGTGACCATTGGCAGCAAGTCCAGCGGCGGAGGAGTCCGTCTTGGCCGGCAGCCGCTCTTTCCGGTCCCTGAGGCGCCTCCGCAGCAGGCCCTGGAACCCGCGGGGTGGGTGAGGAGGGGAGGGAGGGCCATGAGGGTCTCGAGCCCACCGCCTTGAGGCAGCCCCCCCCCCCCGGCTGTTTCCGGCCACTGCGTGTGACACTTTTGGGGGGCTGGGCTGGGCTGGAGGGGCCTCCGGCCTGGCCCAACACTGGCTCCTTCCTTGTGGTCTTGCGGTCTTATACCCCGAATGAAACTCTGTTGCTCTTAGGGTGCCCCACTCTGGCCTCAGACTTCGTTCTGCTGCTTCACACCGTGAGTGGCCCCCGCCTGAATCTGTCTTGAGGGGGTGTTACAATAACCCAACCCCAAGGCCACAGAAGCACCTGGCCAGTGAAAGAACGGAGCTACTCCGCAGAGTTTTGGGTGCCGTTGGAGTCTGGGGGAGGGGAGGGGAATGTGGTCTTACACGGGATACTTTAAAGTGATTTTTTAAAATATCCATTGATATTGGTTGTCCTTCATCATGGGCTGTTGCTTGTGTTGGTCCCTGCCGTGCCCAGAGAAAGGTAGGTCCATACCTCTTTTAGCCAGAAAGACCAAGGAGGAGGTGGTGTGGGGGGGGGGGGAGGGGGGGGGGGGGGAGGGAGGAGGGAGGAACCCGCAGACCCAGCACAGACAACGGCCTCGCTGCCGGCCTGCCCGCTTGCCAAGCGACAGCACTTGCCAGCTCTTCTACAAGCGAGGGCGGATCTCGGGGCACGCCCAGACCTTTAACTGCGGCCCAACAACGCCAGATGAACCCGCTCTCACAGTGGCAGATCCAGTCCCTCAAAGGGATCAGATCTCTTCCTCAGCGTCCCCTTGGCCCTCTCCTCAACGTCTTGTCCCTCGTGGGAAACGGCTGGGCTGGGGGGCTGGGCTACCCAGTCCAAATCCTGGGCCTCGCTGGGAACTTGGGGTATCACAGAGACACGGGGTCTCCCCTCCCCCCTCCCCCCTCCCCCCTTAACGATGCCCCCCTCTCCACCACCACCCCCCTCCTTAAGCAGAAGCCTGGGCCCCCGTCCCCGAGGGGGTGGGGTGGGCGGGCCTACCTTCACACTGCTGAGCTGCAGCCCAGAGGAAGCCTCTTGCGGGGCCCTTCTTTCGGGCACCTGCGAGTCCAGGAAGCCCCTCCTCCCACCAGCTCCATCAGGGGGCACTTCTGTCGGAAGAAAAGCGAACTAAGTGGGAGGCGCACAAAATGCCCTCGCTCTCGCGCGCGGTGGAAAGGGGAAAGACCAGCCAAAGTGGAGTGAGGATACCGCGGAGCTGCACAGCCCAGCGTCGCTTTCATATTTTCAGCAATGTGGCTTCCTTCCAGCAGAGAAGCCCCCTCTCCTCATGGCTGGCTCACAGCTCTGCTCTTCCAGCTACTGTTTGAGAGGCGGCGGCTGCTGCTGCGGCTGCGGCTGCAACCAAGGTGGACTCGGAGGCTTGTCTGTGACCAGAATGAATCAGTGTTCAGACGTATGCCTCCCCCCCCCCCCCCATAGCCACCAGCACTGCGAACTAGGAAGTCGTCCATAAACCACAATGTGTTAAGCCAGCATGTTTTAAAATCCTGGTTTGCAAAGATGAAGCAAACTACAGAAACCAGAGAGCTGATGATGGCGTGTTCTTTTAGAAATCAACAGAGCTCATGTGCATGCATGCACGCATGTGCACGCACACATACACTTTTCAGAAGTCACAGGTTTTCTGGCCTTTCCTTTTGCTCAGAGCCACCAATCCCTCCCAAATGATTGCAATCATAGAATCATAGAGTGGGAAGGGACCTCCAGGTTCATCTAATCCAACCCCCTGCACAATGCAGGAAAATCACAAATACCTCCCCCCTCCACACACACCCAGTGACCCTTGTTCCATGCCCAGAAGATGACAAAAACTCTCCAGGATCCCCTGGGGCCAAACTGGCCTGGAGAAAAATCGTTTCCTGAACCCAAAGTGACAATCTATTTCCCAGCACTCCCATCAGATTATCCAGCCTGAACAAATTGGGTTTTCTAAAGGTGATTCTACTGTAAACTATTGTTTTCTTTTATCCTTTTTGGCCTATAAATATATGAATTCTAGCACCAAAAAGCTGTATGCGGCCTTCATTGATCTGAAAGGTGCATTCGACTTGATACCCAGACGATTACTATGGAGGAAACTTGAATTTATGGACATCGACCCAAGACTGCTATTTCTGATTTTAAAAACTTCGTTCTTCTACCTCTTGCCAAGTCAAATATTCAGAACTCGGGAACCTAAACTCCAAATACCAACTTCTAAAGGTGTGAAACAAGGGTGCGTTTTAGCTTCTCACCTTTTAAATTTATTTCTAAACAACTTAGCATTATCATTAGGGTCCATCGATGGCCACCGCCCTAAATTAGAGTCTTATGCGGTTCCTCTCTTGCTTTATGCTGACGACACCACAATTCTCTCTTGTTCTAGGGCTGGTCTTTTACAATACTTACAAGCTTTTCATAAATACTGTCAAGACAATTCTTTAGTCATTAATTATTCAGACTTCAAAACACCAGTCTTCTCTAAAGGCTGGGACCTGGCTCGGTGGTCTATAGCAGAGGCTGCCACCCTACGATATCACTATTATTTCCTACTCCTCTTATTGCCACCCAGAGACTCTCAGCTGGACTTCCATGCTCAGGTTCACGTATTTCCTCACGAGTAGATACCTCCTTTATGTATCATGCAAGTCCTCCGCCCTTCCTTATTTGACTGTCCCTTTTAAACAAGTTGTGCCCCTCAATCCTAATACTCCAGTTGTGAGTGTCACCCCACCAAGTTTCCGTCATGCCTACTAGGTCATCGTCCCCTTCCTGTGTGTACGACTTCCAGTTCCTCCTGCTTGTTCCCCGTACTTTCTCCCCTGCCTACTGCTCCTCATCCCTCCTGGGGTCCCCAAGGAACGGCGAGGGAGGGAGGGAGGGAGGGAGAAGGGTGTCCCCTTCTGCTGTCCGTGTTCCTCCCACCTGAAGACGACAACTTTCTCACTGGAGTGCCTGAAGTGTGTCAAGGCAAGATCTGCAACCTTCAAAGGGGCAGCAGGAGCGGCACAACTGGAGTCTGGCTCTGCAGCAGCAGCAGAAGCTTCAGTGGAAAGGTTCCCACGACAACTGTAGGAGTGGCTCCAGCCACAGCTCTTGTCCGTCTAAGCAGGGGGCACGTCAGAAAGCGGCTGGATGGGAGCCCAGAGTCACACTCCCCAGGCCCTACCTTGTGACATCACTAGACCCCGCCCCATGACATCACTCCAGCAGCACCTAAAAGACATTTCCCAGGTTGGAAGCCTTTGTGAATCGGAGCTCACTTCACCAGATACTGCGCCCTGGAAAAGTTTGTTGATCTTTAAGGCGCTGCTGGTCTTGAATGTCGATCTACATGCAGTTATGCAGGGCTCTTTCTGTAGCAGGGGACTCCTTTGCATATTAGGCGACCCCCCCCCCCCCAATGTAGCCAGTCCTCCAAGTAGCCCCTGTAAGAAGAGCTCTGTCAACTCTTGGAGGATTGGTTACATTGTGGGGGGGGGGTGTTGCCTAATATGCAAAGGGGTTCCTGCTACAACAAGAGCCCTGCAGGTGTGCACCAGTGGGCACGCATTCCAGATGCTGGAGCCACACTGGTGGAACCATTCTGGTGTCGTGTGAGTTGTGTGTGCGTGCAGCAGGCTCTCAATACTCACCGTAGTTCACCTGGCCATACAGAACTGGGTACACAGTACTCGTCTCTGAAAGAGAACTGCTGGTTCTTTTCCGGCTCTGGAGCAGACTCTGAAACACCAAACAGAACATCAAGGGCAGGGTGGTGGGTCCCCTTGGAGGAGAAAGGGAGGCTATCAACGAGGCAGGTCAATAAGGGAGTAAACCTGCCCTCTACTACTCTGCAGACTGCCGTAGCCGTAGCTCTGATATCAATAACCTTTTCTTGCTGAAAAGAGCAAGATTCCAGGAGCACCTTAAAGACTTAACAATATTTTTGACAGGGTAGGAGCTTCATTGAGTCACCGGCCACTTGTAAGCCGTGACTAACGAAAGCTCATCCCCTGCCACAAATGTTGCTGGTGTCTAAGGGGCTACTGGACTCTTTTCTACTGGCACAGACAGAGCAACATGGCTTTACCCATCTTGATATTTTCTTGCTGAAAATCCAGGCACTTTTCCCAACTGTCCACAAACTCTGTTTTAGGTTACTTTCATCTTGCACAGTTAGTTGAACCAGTTACAGAAAAGGTTAGATTAATTGCTTTTTAATAGAGGCTATCTTGCTTGACCAAATGTATCTCATATGCACATGTAAATTAGTTTATTCAGCACTTACGTTGCTTATCTCTTATTTAGTTATGTACCAATTAGTTTAGATTACATGACATAATTATAGACTCAGGTGGGGTCGGCCGTGTTGGTCTGAAGCAACAGAACAAAGTTTGAGTCCAGTCTGGGCACCTTTGAGACCAACTTAATTCTGGGTATGCGCTTCCGTGTGCATTATGATGGACAAGATTGAGAGATAAGAACTGATATTTCCCTATAAATATGCAAGCCACGCCACAAGCAGGGAATGCTTCCACCACGGAAGTGGACCCACCTCCTCATCTCTGCCCATGAGCACTAACTGTCGGTCCAGCAGGGACACATTGGCCACATCCCAGAGAGGAGCATCAGGAGCGGTGACCAGAGCTGATGGTGTCAGCTGGGCAGCAGAATCCCCCCCTAATGGAAGAAAGACGGAGAGAAATACAGCATTATGGTGGACAGCTGACAAAACAATCGAAACCTATCTGGTTCATGGGGACACGATACAAAAGAATGTGGGGAACACCTTCCTCCCCTCCCTCAATAACCCTCACCTATCCATGTGCCTTCCGCCTCCACGTGCCGGTGCGCTGGCCCAAACAGCCCCCACACCCCGGTCCCTGCTCCTGCTCTTGTTTCTGTTCAGGTGGGGTCGCCCCGTGTCAGTCTGAAGCAGCTGAACAAAGTCCGAGTCCAGCTGGGCACCTTGAAGACCAACCGAGTTTAATTCGTGTGTGCGCACACTTCTTGTTCCTGTGATCAGTGTTCAGACATGACAGGTGCCCAGGAAACAGGAAACAGCGACGGGGACTGAATCAGGGACCGCTGTGAAGCCAGCGGCTGCGGGAGCGAGGTGCGCTACGTTTCACTGGCAACTTGCCCGTTCAGTCAGAATGGACAAGATCCTTGCAACAGAGACCGAGGCCACGGAGACCGGTTCCTGTGCATCGTGATGGAGTTAGATCTATCGGTGCCTCCTCTGAGCGAAGTCAGTACATGGGCAGCCCCTCTTTGTTGCGTCCTGTGGCCTGGGGGCTGTGCCAGACTGGTGAGAGTGGACTGGACTCAGTTTTACTCATGAGTTTGTCTCAGAGCCTTCGTTAGATCTGCCGTGAACCATGCAGAGAGCGGTGAGAGCAGTGCAGAGTTAACAGGTTCAGCTGGGGGGGGGAAGGCGGAGGGGGCTGGAGAACCCGGAGGCTCACAGTAGCTGCTAGTCAAGTATGCAGAGGGAGAGACTGAGGGAAAGGAGGGGGTGGCTGCCGTTCCCCTCCTGCCCCTGGGGTGGATCGTGCCCGCACTTGTGGGGCTCTCTAGGTGTGGATAGAAGAAGGGAGGGGCTGGCAGAGCCAGCGGTAGCTGTTGACACCCATGGATGCAACAACCGGGTACTCCTGGTGCCGGGCAATCAGTGCCAACGTCACAGCAGAACTTGTCTCTCTGACTGACGCCTCTACCGGCATTCTGACATACAAATCACCCCGGAAGAAGCTCGGAAAGACAGTCCTCCCCTCTTTCGGTGTGGCCCGCGTCTCTCCATTCCCATCCCTGGAGTGTCGCTTGACAACTGTTGCCAATTTAAGAGCCCTAAACAAAACTTGCATTATATATATTTGCACAGAGAGACTGTGAACGTTTAGGTAGGGCCGTGGAATGGAAACTGAGGCCTTACACACTGGAACCTTCTTCTCCAATCCAAAAATAAATTAGGAATATAAAGCATTTGCAGATTCGTTTACTCAACTGCTATGTTTTGTTGGCATGCTTTCCCCTGCATCACAGAGTTTGAATTTTACCAGAATGTGGACATTTCTCTCTTGCAAGGAATAAAGTAGAGGCGGGAAATGTGAGGTAGTTTCATACTACTTGGGGGTGGGCTGCATCTCCTATTCATGGTGACTTTATTTATTATTTATTTATTTATTCAAATGTATAGCCCTCCCTCCCCGCGAGCAGGCTCAGGGCGGCTCACAAATAGGGCACATATGCCAGTAGTTAAAACAGTAAAAACAAGATAAAACCAACATTTACAACAGCATAAAGTGCTCTAGATGTTACAAAAGATCTTCAATCACAAGATGGTATCCTGGGGACGGTAGTCTCAATTCTGTGGCCTCCTGGGAAGGTTAGTCTCAGTTCAGTGGTATGGGTTCCACGCGGTATTATAAATAACTTGTCACAGGGCCATCGCATGCCACGATGTTGCCTAACCCAGTTAGTGGTGGTGGTGCAGCAACGATGGTGCGGTTATGGTGATGCAGTAGTGGTGGTGGTGGTAGTGGCGGCTCCTACTCAAAAGCCTGGCGGAAGAGCTCTGTCTTACAGGCCCTGCGGAACTGCACAAGGTCTGTTACTTCATGAGATCAAGAGAAGGAGACGAATGCCCAGTCTCAGTCTCTGAGCGCTTTCTTTTTTAAATTACTCTTTGCAAGTCACTTTGCTGCAACATGCTTAGCAAAAGAACATGTACCTCTGGCCGCCAAGGCTCCCTCTAAGCTGTGGAGCCTTGTGAGCAAAAATTCTACTTTGTGAGCTACTGACATTAAAGTGGTGAGCAAGCAATTTGGCTACTGCATAAATCCCTTCCTGAGCTGAGACAAAGATGTGTGAGCCGGAGGCTAAAAAACCCTGTGAGCTAGCTCACACTAACTCAGCTTAGAGGGAACACTGCTGGCCACGTGTAGACTATCTTTCTCACAACAGTCATCGGAGCCTTTGTTCTCCACTGCCCCAGCAGCTGCGATTGGGGCTAACGGAGCGAAGGAGAGGCTCTGTCATCCTGTGTGGGGCTAAAGAACTGAGGGGGAGGGAGTCCAGGGCCTACGTCAGCCGTAGGGCACAGGTGGGCACCTAAAAGCAAATGCTGTTCAAACTAATGCTATGTGACTGTAAGCATCCCAGGGCTTTGCAGTTTTGTGGCCTCTCACCACACGGATCTTTTGGTGCCCTCCCCGTAAGGCTGCTGGCTGCCTTGGTGGGTGCTCTGCATGGAGCCCGCAGCCCACCAGGCCTCCTGTGCCGGCTCCCACCATTCCACAACAGGCTGCTTGCCGGGTTTCAAGCACAGCGGGACTGGGCCACGGCGAGTGGTTCTGTCCTCTGCGGGGCTGGTCTAAATTGGCGGGCCAGGACAGAGCCAGAGAGTGTGGTGAAAGAATGGGAATGGTCTCGTTCTGAACTGCTGGTCGTATCCCCTCCAGGAAGGGCCTTGCATCAGTGGCTCTCAGGTGGCGGGTTGGGGCCCAAACGCCACAGAAGAGTTGTGAGGCCGGGAGGGAAGGAGGGAAAACCGAGTGAGTGAGAGGAGAGGGTGCTGTGGTGTCTCCCATGTGAGGCTCACTGACCTAAAAGTGTTCTGATGTGTTCTACGGTAACTGTGAGGCTTTGACTATGCTCTGTGGAGAGCTGCCCTTTAAGACAGGGGTGCCAAACACGTGGCCCCTGGGGGCTGGATGAGGCCCCTGGAGGGCTTCCATCAGGCTCACAGTGGAACTGGCCCATCTCCTGCTTCCGGTTCTGCTGCTGCTGCTGCATCGTAGCTTGCTTTGCCAGACTCTCTTAATCACTCAGCCATTGCATGTTTTCCCCTGGGTCCTAGACTCAGAACTCTGAGTATGAGATTCCTGTGGTGAATGTCGATAAATCAAAAGTAGGTTTTGCAGCTTACAGAACTAATGTTTCAAGCATGTTTTTATTTTAAGTAAAAAAAACCCTTTGTGTTTGGGTCCTTTATAAAGTTTATATCTCCACTACTTGGCGTCACATTTTATGACACGCATGGCCCAGGGGCCCAACAAGGTCTCATTTGTGTCAGATCCGGCCCTCCTAACAAATGAGTTCGACGCCCCTGCTTTAAGACAACCCAAGAACTTTTTCTGGTGCAAAACAGGGCTGCCATAAATTGGCTGTGCCTTGACGGCATTTCCCACCCCACCCTGCAGAGGGCGCAGCTGTTTCATGGGGCCGCCGCCTGGCTGTGTTGCGTCTATGCTGGATTTTTAAAAAACAAAAACCAAAAACCCAGAGAGTGAATCAGGGTTGGTTTTAGCGGTCTTTGTTAACTGCCTTGGGTCCTTCGCAGGAGACAAGTGGGTTAAAGAGGTCTTCAGTACATAAGATAAATAAAAAACGTAATTGAAGGAAAGTCTTCTGTGCCTCCCTTTGCTCCAAAAGGAACGGACTTAGGGAAGGGCTGCCCCTGGAACATCTCTCCGTCTGGGAAAGAGCATCTCGACATCGCCAGGGCCGGCCCGAGGCGTTTTTGTGCCCTAGACGAAGCCAGCTTGTGACAGCCAGCCCCCCCCAACCGATGCCAACCTCCCGGTGGGGCCTGAAGACCTCCCAGAAACATGCCTGGGAGGGGGAGGTGCCGGGCGCCACAAGCTAGCCTTGCCCCTGTGCCCGGGTCGGCTTCCCACTGGCCCAGCCCAGAGAGCAGAGCCCCAGCCCGAGCAGTCCCCGGCGCATCTGCGGTCAGTGCCCACTTCTGTCCGCTCGGCGCCCATCGGACCGCCTCAGGAAGTTCCACCTGGCCCGCAAGCCAGACTGGGTGGGTGGCCAGGCAGGCAGCAGACTTACAGTGGTGCAACCCAGAGGCGGACAGCCCCTCCGGCCTTCGCCCTCCGCAGCAGAACTCGCCTGGCTCCACGGCGGGGCTCGCCAGCACACTCCTCCTCCTCCTCGCTTGGGCCCGTTGGCAGGTTGGCCTTCTGCTGGGGTATCATGCCGGGGCCGGGTGCACCTGCGCCCCATCCAGGGCCCCCCTCAGCTCTGCCGCGCATGTGCGCTCCATCAATTCCCAGCACTACATTCATTCAGTGCCATCCGATGGCTGGACACAGTGTAAAGCCAAGGTGGGCTGGGAAAGGCAGAGAGGGTGCCCAGGCGCCCACCTCCCCTGGCTGCCTCTGCTGCAGCAGAAACCCAAGGGGTGAGGGAGAGGCTCGCAGTAACCACCCCAGGCCAGCCATGACCCCCAATCTTCTGGGATGGAGAACCAGGAAGCCCCCTCCCCGGCTCAGAAGGAGCAGCCGCGGACCCTGCTCTGATGCCCAGACAAGCAACCTCTTCTAGCGAGGGATTTCAGGCAGGACTCCCAGGAAGTCCACGGCCACTTCCACGGGGGAGAGGGCTGCCCACGTGTAACTCTCCCTGATGTGGGCAGGCCCTTCCTGGGTGTCCCATCCAAGGCCCCCCTCAGCTCTGCCATGCACGTGCGCCCCATCCAGGCCCCCTTCCCAGAACAAAAGCAGAATTGGATGCAGGGCATTTGGCGGGGCCGGGTGCAGTTTGGCACCCTAGGGCGCCATACTGCACCCGCACCCGCCAAAAGCCCTGCATCTCCCAGATCAGGTGGCCACCACTGCCGCCTCTTTCTCCCCAAGTCAAGCTAGCTCAGCACTTGCCGGACTCGGGGAGAAAGAGGCGGCGACGGTGGTCAGGGAGATACAGGGCTTTTGGTGGGGGGTGGCAGGGGGGGGCGGGTCCAGTTTGGCGCCCTAAGGTCCAGCCCGCACTCTAGGCAAATGCCTAGTTTGCCTAGTGGGTGAGCCGGCCCTGGACATCTCTCCACCAGAAGAGTTAGTCCCTTACTTTAATGAGAGAAAGGGGAACGGCGGATGCTGAATTCCACAGCTGATGACTTTTGCATCTGTGAGGTTGCTGATGTATGGAAGACACAAAGCTCTGCTTTAATAACGTTGTCAAAAACCCATCCTTTCACCACGGGGAAGAGGCAGTATTTTGAAGTCCACTTGGGCCCTGGACCATCTCTTATCCAGTCCCAACGAAATGCCACGACCCACCCCCTGGGGGCAGCACTGCCTCACCTGTGCTTGCTTCCTTCGTTTCCTTGTCTGGTTGGGGCGCAGCTTCCTGCTTCTTCCAGTGGGACATGGAGCGCAAATACTTCCGCAGACTCAGCTTGCCGCCTCCTTCCTGGGCCTTGGGCATCTTGGCGGGGCTAGAGAAAGCCCTCTGGAAGACAGACCTCTTGGAGGCAGCTCGGCTGTCCGGGGAGGGTGCCCCGCGGGGGCTTTCCCGCTCGCTCTCCGTCTGGCTTTGCACCCGCCTCCACCTCTGCGGCTTGCCTCTGTGCCCCGAGGCTGGGCTCGGGGCAAACTCTGGCTCCTTCTCCCCATCTTGGGGGACCCTCAGCCACCTGTAGGAGCTCAGCACGGACGGCGCGTCTGTCCCCTGCCTCGATGTGTCAGAGGCCTCCATCTGCCAGGGAAGAGGAGACAGGAAAGATGACAGACAAGGAACAGCCCCCGAGTCCGGTGTCCGTTGATGCACTTCCCTCGTGTCCCGCCTTCCTTCCTCCCCAGTGGGGGCCCAGAGCCGCTGACACGATGGCCCCCGCTCAGCTCTACCCTCACGACCCCCTGTGGTTTCCCAAGGTGGCGTCGGCGTCGCCCCCCCCCCATCGGTTCCCCAAGGCAGAGTACGGCGTCCACACCCGGGTCTCCCAAATATTAGTGTGACTCTCTTGAACACCGCGAAAAGCCAGAACTGCCGTTGGCTTCTTGCCTCTGGCTCTTACTGCGTTTCCTGAGAGTCACAGGGGTGCCTGCAGAAGCAGAACTGGGAGCTCTCCCCCCCGGGGCACCACCGGCCTCCCTGCCAGAGCATCCCTTCACAGCCCGAGGGGCACCTTGTGCTGCCAGGGACTGGCGGGCATTTCCTGTGAAGAACGAGCCCTTGCCACTGGCTCTGCGGGACCGGTAACTGTGGGGCTTACTGCCTGAGCCACCAGCTCTGGTCTGACCCACAGTCCTTGTCCTGCCCCCCTGCCGTGATCACGGCCCCTCGCCAGGCCGTGAGGAGAAGGGAAGCACATGCCACGCCTACCACGGAGGGGAGGTCTCTGCCGCCACCATCTCGTTTCCTGCCCTCCTCTCTGCTGTGGGGAGCGCTTCCTGCCAGGTGGCCCCCACCCCCACATCCTCTCGAGGCTTTTGCAAGAGGGTCAGTCATGCAGAGCACTTTGTCTGGGGCCAGAATGGGGGGGGGGGCCAAGTCAGAACACCTGCTGCCTCCAGTCTGCTAAGCAAAATGCTTTAGGACATCTTTGTCCAGGATTTTGTGATGGATGCACTGGGGTGGCCCTGTCCAGTCAGAACATAAGAACACAAGAGAGAAGCCAGTGTTGGATCAGGCCAATGGCCCATCTAGTCCAGCACTCTGTGTCACACAGCAGCCAAAAATACCAGAAGCCATCAGGAGGTCCAGCAGTGGGGCCAGGACTCCAGAAGGGCTCCCACTGTTGCCTCTCACCCCAAGCACCAAGAACACAGAGCATCTCTTGCCCCATAAGAACATAAGAGAAGCCAGTGTTGGATCAGGCCAATGGCCCATCCAGTCCAGCACTCTTGTCACACAGCGGCCAAAAATACCAGGTGCCATCAGGAGGTCCGGCAGTGGGGCCAGGACACTAGAAGCCCTCCCACTGTTGCCCCCCCCAAAGCACCAAGAATACAGAGCATCCCTTGCCCCAGACCGAGAGTTCCTCTCTATACCTTGTGGCTAAGAGCCACTGATGGACCCCTGCTCTTAACATAAGAACATAAGAGAAGCCAATGTTGGATCAGGCCAAATGGCCTATCCAGTCCAACACTCTGTGTCACACAGTAGCCAAAAACACCAGGTGCCATCAGGAGGCCCAGCAGTGGGGCCAGGACACTAGAAGCCCTCCCACTGTTGCCCCCCCCAAAGCACCAAGAATACAGAGCATCCCTTGCCCCAGACCGAGAGTTCCTCTCTATACCTTGTGGCTAAGAGCCACTGATGGACCCCTGCTCTTAACATAAGAACATAAGAGAAGCCAATGTTGGATCAGGCCAAATGGCCTATCCAGTCCAACACTCTGTGTCACACAGTAGCCAAAAACACCAGGTGCCATCAGGAGGCCCAGCAGTGGGGCCAGGACACTAGAAGCCCTCCCACTGTTGCCCCCCCCAAGCACCAAGACTACAGAGCATCACTTGCTCCCCAGACTGAGAGTTCCTAATCTATACCTTGTGGCTAAGAGCCCCTGAGGGACCTCTGCTCCAGATGTTCCCTCTTGAAGCCGTCCATGCTTGTAGTCACCACCACCTCCTGTGGCAGTGGATTCCATCTGTTCATCACTCTTTGGGTGAAGGAGGACTTCTTTTTATTTGTTCTAACCCGACCGCTCAGCAATTTCATGGAGTGCCCGCGAGTAATGGGAGAGCACCAAGTAGTGGGTGGAAAGGAGTGCGAAGCAGCACATTTGTTTATTTTCATCTCTATCTCGCCTTTCTCAGTGGGACTCAAGGCGGATTATAAGTACCACAGAGCTATTTATCAAACAATAAGCCAGTTACAACTACGACAACATTTGAACCTGACAGCAAAGATTCCTAGTAAAACACAGCTATTCACTCCATCAGGAAGCATCTGAGTTTAACAGCAGAGTTTCCTGACAATCTTACAGCTTTGTGATAGATTCCCCCCCCCCCGCCCCTTAAAAACAAAGAGGTCTGTCTGCCCCTCCAGCGGCCCACCCAAGCCCCCAGCCAGGAGGAAAATTTGCTCCCAAGAGGACAGAGAGAAAGGTGGGCTCTGCACACGAAGCAAATACGTCTGTAAGTAAATTGGCTGGGGGGGGGGAACAGTCCTCCAAAGGCATTACTTTCCTGGCAGAATACTTGGGGTATTGCCAGCCTGCCACTGATAATTTAACAAGCCGACATTTGGGTCTCAACCGTTTCTGCCAGAGAAAATCTCCTCCCCAAAATATCTCACCAGATGTGTCCGTGGTTTATTAATTTAGCACATTTTAACCCCACCCATCATCCCAGGAGCCCAGGCCGGTCTGCATTGGCCCCAGGTCCTCCATTTTGTCTGCTCAAGAACCCGGCTGGCCTCTGGTCACACAGGGACCTTCATCGGGCAAAGTGGGGATCAGGAGCGCTTGGCCTCCCAGGACGGAGCACGCCGTGACCGAGGAGCAAAGGGTGGCTTCTTTCCGGAGCTCCCAATGAGACGAGGGTGGGAGTGGACAGGAATGGGGCTCACATCAGAGGGGCCCCCCCTTCCCACAACCCCCTTGCAGCCCTGCCCTTCCTCACAGTCCTCTCTGTCTCAGCTCTGCCGGAGTTCCAACAGCAAAGAGGGGCAGGGGTGCTTTCCCCTGGACCTCCTTAGCATACCTTCATCTCCCTTCCACAGGGCCCCAAGGAGACCAGCCGCTCACCGCTGTGGGGCAGGGACCGATCCGCTTGGCTCCCTGCTGTGCTGATCGGAGGGCCCTTCCTGTCTTCACCACCTCTCTGTCTGCCTGTCTGGTTTCCTTTCCTGCTTGCCCTGCACTCTGCAAGTTTCACATGTGATCTGCAGCAAGATGGTAATCTCTCACCTCGCCCTGCCTGAGCAGCAGCACTGAGGCTGCTCCTTGCAGAGTGGGTGGCAAAGCCAGGCAGCAGCCGCTGGATCTGGAGGGAGGCGCCCAGATTGCATCCTTCGCATCAGGCCACAGACCTAGAGGAGGGTGGGGCTGATCTTGCCCCCTGTGCCATCTCCCAGTACCCTCATGCCAGACAATCAAGGCGGGACCTTTGGGAACAGCTCCCAAAACAGATGCTTTACAAGCAGTCTTCCCTCTAGGCTGAGTTGCTGTGAGCTAGCTCACAGTTTTTTAGCCTCTGGCTGACACGTTATTGCCTTGGCTCAGGAAGGAGGGCCCCAGAGCAAACTCATTTATGCAGTAGCCAAATCACTCACTCACAGCTTTAATGCCACTAGCTCACAAAGTAGGATTTTTGCTCACAAGACTCCATAGCTTAGAGGGAGCATTGCTTACAAGTATTGCTCTCCATCCTGGCCTCACTGATGGACCTCCTGATGGCCCCTGGTATTTTTGGCCACTGTGTGACACAGAGTATTGGACTGGATGGGCCATGGCCTGATCCAACACTGGCTTCTCTTAGGTTCTTATAAGAGGGAATTGGATGAACATATGGAGCAGAGGTCCCTCAGTGGCTCTTAGCCACAAGGTATAGATAGGAACTCTCGGTCTGGGGCAAGGGATGCTCTGTATTCTTGGTGCTTGGGGGGGCAACAGTGGGAGGGCTCCTAGTGTCCTCCTGGCCCCCCTGCTGGACCTCCTGATGGCCCCTGGTATTTCTGGCCACCGTGTGACACAGAGTGTTGGACTGGATGTGCCACTGGCCTGATCCAGCATTGGCTTCTCTTATGTTCTTATAAGAGGGAATTGGATCAATATCTGGAGCAGACGTCCATCAGGGGCTCTTAGCCACAAGGTATAGGTAGGAACTCTCAGTCTGGGGCAAGGGATGCTCTGTATTCTTGGTGCTTGGGGGGGCAACAGTGGGAGGGCTCCTAGTGTCCTCCTGGCCCCCCTGCTGGACCTCCTGATGGCCCCTGGTATTTTTGGCCCCTGTGTGACACAGAGTGTTGGACTGGATGGGCCTTTGGCCTGATCCAACATTGGCTTCTCTTACATTCTCTTATGTTCTTATGTATTCTTGGGGAGGGGGGGGGGACAGTGGGAGGGCTCCTAGTGTCCTGGCCCCCCTGCTGGCCCTCCTGAGGGCCCCTGTGGGCCACTGGCCTGATCCAGCATTGGCTTCTCTTATGTTCTTATAGGAACTCTCAGTCTGCGGCAAGGGATGCTCTGTATTCTTGGTGCTTGGGGGGAGGGGGAACAGTGGGAGGGCTTCTGGTGTCCTGGCCCCACTGCTGGACCTCCTGAGGGCACTTGGTATTTCTGGCCCCTGTGTGACCCAGAGTGTTGGACTGGATGGGCCACTGGCCTGATCCAGCATTGGCTTCTCTTATGTTCTTATAGGAACTCTCAGTCTGCGGCAAGGGATGCTCTGTATTCTTGGTGCTTGGGGGGAGGGGGAACAGTGGGAGGGCTTCTGGTGTCCTCCTGGCCCCACTGCTGGACCTCCTGGTGCCCCCTGTTCTTATGTTATCCCACCCCAGCTCTCTTCTGACTGGCTGCTGTGGCGTCTCCATAGGACACACAGGCCTCGGGCAGACTGGCCCGCCATCACGTGAGCCTTGCCCTCAGTGTCCTCTGGAAATCTGTCCCTCCCCCCATTGCCCTGAGCGCACAACTAACACCTGTATTGTGAAGTGGCCCTTGGAGCTGCCACACAAAGTTCTCTGCACACCCAAGGCAAACAATTCCATACTTAAAACGAGAGGTGCTGGAACTCAAGCATGTCTGTGTCTGCTCGTGGGCACTTTCCTGCTTTTAAGAAGAAGTCCTTGCTAGAGGCATGAGCCCTGGGCATGCACCTGACGGGCTCCCCCCCCCCGGGGCTCTTAGCCTGGGGGGGGGCTTCTCACTGAGACTGGATGATCCACCGGTGGGGAGACTGACTTGCTTCGTACCTGGAAGTCAGGAATGGTATTGGCCTGCCAATTAGCCACAGCAGCTCTGTATGCCTCCTATCCGCCTCCCCGTTCCCCTCTGCCTCAGCCTGTGGGGTGCTCTTGGGGCTACTTGGGGCTGGCCACATATCAGGTCCTGTGTGTGTCTGGATCTTTGGGGTACTGGCTTGTGACTGGGGTAGGATGTTTGTCAAAGCCACTATTTCAGTGCTGGATACAGTGATTGGAGGCAGCGGGCCTTCAAAAGACGGCCAGTGAGACACCTTGGTCCACATTCTTCAACGAATCTCTGTCCCATCTCAGGAGATGTGGTTTCAAGGCCTGCTGTTTCCTCTTGATGTTGTGTAGTCCCAGATCCCCAAGGAATAAAACTGTGCTCCTGTCTAGATTCTTTGGGGAAAATAAGACTAATTGGGGCCAAGGCTCCCTCTAAGTTGCGGAGTCTTGTGGGCAAAAATCCTACTTTGTGAGCTCCTAGCATTAAAGTTGTGAGCGAGCGATTTGGCTGTGGCATAAATTAGTTTGCTCTTCTGGAGCCATCCTTCCTGAGCTAAGACAAAAAATGTGTGAGCCGGAGGCTAAAAGAACTGTGAGCTAGCTCACACTAACTCCGCTTAGAGGGAACAGTGATCCGGGCTACGTGACCAGCACCTGGCTGGGTGGGAAAGAAGAGGTGCCTTTGTCTCAGTCCCCGCTCCACCCGGCTGTGGGGTCCTTCATCATCAGTCCTGAACGGGAGTGCCCATGAAAGGTCTGACTGGGTAAGCGATGCACTCTTGGGTCCCCTGGGCCTCGCATCCAGTGTTTGCAAGCTGGGCTTTGAACAGGGGAGTTGAGTCTGGGAGTTCAGCAGCGGAGGCCGATGGGGAGCCAGAGAGAACCACTCTAGTCTTGAGTTTCCTGAAGAATGACAGAAAAGCTTCACATCAGCAAGGGTGGTATACCACAGTATCCTTCCTGTTATAGAAATCCACATAAATTCAGGTAAACAACCCATTTCAACCCTGAAACATCTTTAAATAACCAAGCCGGTTATGAAGACAGAGAGCCAGGATATGGGGGGGGGGGGGGGGGGGGGGGGAGGGAGAGCTATCCAGTGTTCCGCAGGGATTTTGCCACGTGGATGATTATCTGCCCCGCCAGACAGAAATGCGTGTGCTTGCTGCAGGAGCACTTGGCTCCCGGGGAGCAGGTTCCTTCGCTTGAGGCAAAGGTGGTCGACCTGGAGGAGCTGAGTGGGAGACGGGGGTTGGTGGACGCGCCCTTCAGGGACCAGCTGGGACAGTCCTGCCCCTTCATCAGCCGTGAACCAGGTAGAGCTCACTAAAGGTCTGGCTCCGGAAGCAAGGCCACAGGTCCCCTGGGGCTTGCATCCAGTGAGAGCCAGAGAACTGGGTTTGATTCCCCACTCCTTCTCCACACGAAGGAGAACAGGAGGAGGAGGAGGAGATTGGATTTCTACTCCGTCCTTCACTACCCGAAGGAGTCTCAGAGCGGCTTACAATCTCCTTTTCCTTCCCCTCCCCACAGCAGACACCCTGGGAGGTAGGTGGAGTTGAGAGAGCTCCGACAGAAACTGCTCTGACGGAACCACGGCTTGCTCAAGGTCATCCAGCAGTTGCAAGCGGAGGAGTGGGGAATCAAACCTGGTTCTCCCAGACTAGAGTCCATGCCCTTAACCACTACACCAAACTTGGGTCAGTCACAAGTTCTCTCAGAACTGTTCTCTCAAGGGCAGTTCTCAAGAGAGCTCTCTCAGCCCCACCCACCTCACAGGGTGTCTGTTGTGGGGAGGGGAAGGGGAAGGAGATTGTGAGCCGTTCTGAGACTCCTTCACGTAGGAAAGGGCAGGGGATAAAATGAACTCTTCTTCTTCTTCTTCTTCTTCTTCTTCTTCTTCTTCTTCTTCCTGTGCTGACAGCTGTTGTCAGGCTGATACAATCCCTTAAGTGGGACCCCTTCGTTGGATGACAGACCAATATAAACTTGTTCCAAGAATCAGGGGTCATTTCATAGAAAAAGACGTGCAGGAGCTCATTAGCATAACTTATTTGCATATGCCACACCTCCTGACATCACCGGAAGTGTGTCAGAAGGCAGCACCCACCAGGCTCCACTGGACTGTTTTAGATTGCTAGCTATGGGGGGGGGGGGGGACGTGCAGATCTGTCCTCGCGGAGGAGGGAGAGCTTCTACCTGAATAAAACTTCTTTTTTTCTTAAAGTCGTCTTAAAGGTGCCACTGGACTGTTTTGAACCGGGGGGCTGGGGGGAGCTCTGCACCTTACCCGGCTGCTTCTTGCTCTGCCTGAGGGCTGCTGGGAGCAGGGGGTGGGGCTTGTTGCATGTGCCCGCCCCCTGGGCCCTTTACTGTCGGAGCTCCGCTCCTCTGCGCTCCTGCGGGAAATGACCCCTGCCAAGGATAGCACTCTGGGGCTGGGGGGGAGGGGGAGTGACCATTTTGTAGAGGGTGATATGATTTTTAGGAATATGGAGAGCGGGATCTGTGACAGGCACTTTGACTGCACGGTGACTTGTCAGCCTGGCTGCGAAGGTTGCAGACGTCACACACTGCCGACACAGGTTGATAGATCATGCTGAGGAGTCAGTGATCATGGTGCATGTTGGCACTGGTGATACGGAGAAATATAGTTGTGTGCTGGGGTGTACCAAAAAAATGGTATTTTGGGGGTTGGGGTAAATAGAACCTGGAAAATATTGGCATTTCCTGATATTCCTGAATCCCAATATAAGTATGATATTGGGATTCAGGAAAGAACTGGGATTGCCAAATTTATTCGGCTGCATTATACTGTATGGGGACCGTCCCCATAGGGTATAATGGAGAAGGGGGTGGGTGAACTCGTGCTGCTTCCGAGTTAACTTGTTTGCGGCTTGGCTTTGCTAAAGTAATTTAAAGTGAACTTTCCCTTTAAATTACATCTGCAAAGCCAACCTGTGCGAGAGAAACCCAGAAGTGGCATGAGTTCACCCACATTCTGGGTGAACTTATGCCATTTCAATGCCCCCCCTAAGCTGTGGAGTCTTGTGAGCAAAAATTCTACTTTGTGAGCTACTGGCACTAAAGTTGTGAGTGAGGGATTTGGCTCCTGAATAAATTATCCTGCTCTGGAACCATCCTTCCTGAGCTCAGACAAAAATCTGTGAGCTAGCTCACACTAGCTCAGCTTAGAAGGAACACTGGGTTCACTCCTGTGCAGCTTGGCTTTGCAAAAGTAATTTGAAGGTACAATGCAAAATGTAATCATCTTGAAGGACTGGCAGGCAATTCCTCAAAGGGCCAGTTGGTGGCAGCAATACTAAAGGACCAAGGGAAAAACCTTCCGGCAAATCAGGAGAACATTCGTGTAGCCAGGCAGAGACTTTTGGGCAGCTGCTGGTGCCTAAATGCTTCAGAGGGCTGCACAGAATTGCACGTGTGGGTCAGCAAGGCTCTTTCACCACAGGTATGCCCAGAAAGTTTAAAATGTTCACCACAATTCCTGCATGTCTTGTGGCAGATTTGTGTTCATTGATTCTCACACTGGGACCAATACAATTGTCTGATGTAGATAGAATCATAGAATCGTAGAGTGGGAAGGGGCCACACAGACCCTCTAGTCCAACCCTCTGCGCCCAGTGCAGGACCAGCCTAGAGCATCTCTGACAAATATTCGTCCAGCCTCTTCTTGAAAGCTGTCAGTGAAGGGGAGCTCACCACCTCCCTCGGCAACTGATTCCACCTCTGAACCACTCTGTGACCATGAAAAAGTTCTTCCTAATATCCAGCCGATATCTTTCTGCATGTAACTTAAAGCCCTTGCTTCGGGTCCTCTCCTCTGCCGCCAATGGGAGTGGCTCCCTGCCCTCCTCCAAATGACGGCCCTTCGAATATTTAAAGAGCGCCCTCCTGTCCCCCCCTCAGTCTCCTCTTCTCCAGACTAAACATTCCCAAGTAGTCCCTCGGCCTTTCCTCGCAGGGCTCAGTCTCCAGACCCCCGATCGTCCTTGTCGCTCTCTTCTGCACCCTCTCGATTGTGCCCACACCCTTTCTGAAGTGAGGCCTCCAGAACTGCACACAGGAGGACTCCAGGCGTGGCCTGACCAAGGCAGTCTACAGTGGGGCTAGGACCTCCTGCCATTTCAATGCCATGGCCCTTTTAATACAACCCAAGACCAAATTTGCCTTTTTTGCCACCGCATCACACTGGCCGCTCATATTCAGTCTACAGTCCACTCCTACTCCAAGATCTCTTTTGCATACACTCCTCCTCTCCAGGAATGTATCCCCCATCCAGTATTTGTGCTTGATATTTTTGTGGCCCAGATGTAATGCTGTCTGCATTTATCTGGCAGAAGGGTACTGCTGGCACATGGTGGCATGTATTAAATTGGACAACGGATGAGTGGATGAGTGCAAGAAGGTATGTAGCCGACCCGACACGGCTCTGGCAGCCGCTGCCACCGCAGGACGAGGGTCCTGAACTGTGTGGCTCTGAGTCAGCTGCAGCAGCAACCATTTGGGGGCTGCTGTGGCAGTCGTCCTGTGGCTGCCCCAGAATTCCCAAGGAGCCCTCAGGCTCAAAAGAGTTCGGGGACCCCTCCCTAGAGCTTCCGCCATTCTCTTCCCTGCTCTTTGTGACCTCCAGCCTGAAGAAGAGTTCTGGAGAACGCAGAAGTGTGCACACTTTTATGTGACCTGTGGCTGGTCCTAATAAAAGAACTGTCTGCCACAGGAGATGGAGCCAATCAAATTCCCAGCAGCCAATTAGAAACCTTGCTGGGAGAAATCTTCACCTGGCCCCACCCACTTTCTAAAGACACTTGGCGGGCGCCAGGAAAGAGCCAGTTTGGTGTCATGATTAAGTGCGCGGACTCTAATCTGGGAGAGCCGGGTTTGATTCCCCACTCCTCCTCCACTGGCACCTGGCTGGATGACCTGGGGCAAGCCGTAGTTCTGATAATGAACTGTTCTTGAAAAAGAGCCGTTTCTGTCAGAGCTCTCTCACCTCCTCCTCCTCCTCCTCCTCTTCTTCTTCTTCTTCTTCTTCTTCTTCTTCTTCTTCTTCTTCTTCTTCTTCTTCTTCTTCTTCGGTGTGACAGCCCCCAAGGGCACCACACTGAGGACCCCTGCTTTAGGAGACATTGTGAACTCTTGGTGTCATCGGCCTTGTGCTACAGATGCTAGATGCAGGGCTGGTGCTACCATCCAGGGGCACCCAGCTTTTTTATGAGTGAGAGGCTATGAAATGGTTGCATTCAAAGGAAAGTAGACAAATCCATGGAGGACTCGGAGAGGCCTATCATTTGGCACTAGCCGAAATGAGAAAAGGGGAACTTCCACAATAAACGTCTGAATGCCAGCACTAGGAGAAAGGGAAGGCTTTGGCCTCTGTGCTCTCTTCGCTGGTCCTCCAGGAGACCAGGTTGGCCACTGGGTGAAACAGTGCACTGCAGCTTGGAGGAACAAGGAGCGTGATTGTCTGGATGAACGGCCGTTGTTGCAGCTCAAGAATGTGGACAAGTTGCTTACAGACGTCGCCCCCACAAGAGAACAGGCTTCGAGAGGGACAAAGAGCAAAAGGATGCGCAGAGTGACAGGGCTTCTGACAGACTGGAAACAGGCTAAATCCTATCAATCGGTATAAAATGCATTCAGGCCCCGGCACAAATGGTGATCGTTCCAGGCGGGTGGCCCCCTTAGTCTGCAGGAGCAGACCAGAATGCAAGTCCAGCAGCGCCTTGAAAGGCTGACAGAATTCTCCAGGGTGTGAGGGTTAGGGCTAGACACAGAGAAGCCCACCACCCCCTGGGAAACATCGCTGGCCTTGAAGGTGCTCCTGGACCAAAACCTACACAGTGCTTGCTGCTTATAAGGGAATCGATGAGCCAGGAATGTGGACCCTAACCCAGCAGGACCATATGGGCTGTGTCGTGGCCCCTGAACGTGGGGGGGGGCCCTTGAAATGATTACGGGTGTCTTCTGGGGGCAAAAAGGTTTCTTGCCTCGTGACCTCTGCATCCTTTAGCGTAAGAGACATTTAATGATCTCACATAATTGCTCTCCTTATTTTAAAACCATCTATATAGAATTAATGGTTAGCGGTATCATATTCTTTCAATTAGGCTGTGCCAAAGACAAGTACGTTTTCATTAAGGTCGTGATGAAGGCAAAGATTCTTTTTGTAGAAAAAGCCCAGCAGGAACTCATTAGCATAATAGGCCACACCCAACAGCAGAAATTCATTTGCTTATTAGGACACACCCATGAGAGCACAGCTCATTAGCATATTAGGCCACACGCCCCATGTTTGCAGAAGTGTGGTCATCCAGACACACCCACCTTTTGCTTCTTATGCTGTTTACCTTGTTTGTTGTCAAAATCCAGGGCCTTTTTTTTGTAGCAGGAACTCCTTTGCATGTTAGGCCACACACCCCTAATGTAGCCAATCCGAATGAGTTCCTGCTGTTGGGTGTGGCCTATTATGCTAATGAGTTCCTGCTGGGTGTGGCCAACTCGGGAGCCAGCCGGAACTCCGTTCCTGTGTGTTCCTGCCCAAAAATAGCCCTGCTCTTACAGTATTTACTTGTGTACTATATTCACAATGAACCTGACATGGGAGATTAATGATCTGGTAGAGGAAAGCTAACGAGCCAACCAAGGCTTCTTGGGCGCACAACTGGACCCCAGTCAGGCCTGACAAGGGTCATGCAGCAGCATTTGCAGTGGCAATGGAGCACCCACATAGCAGTTTTCCCCACTTGTTTCTTGCCTCTGTCCCCATGGCCAGTGTGCAGTAGCAGGGATTGGGCGATTGATACATTTAATAAAATAATACCAATACTACTACTAATAATAATAATAATAATAATAACCCCACACACACACACACACAGAAGATAATATTTTTAAATTAAAAAATCAGGGATTTATTATTACAGTCTATTTTTCCAGCTTTCATTGAAAAAACCCAAGTCTTTGTTTGGCAACCCTCTTTGTTTTGTGGAGTTATAACAATGGCCACCCCGGCCATGGCCCTACAAGGACCTGCATCCCCCCCTTCTTCCCGTATTTGCAAATCCAGGAATG